AGATGCATAGTGTTGGTTAGGATGCTCAGTATGGAACCATTGAAGAAGTCTGGGTATTCAGTTGCTCTCTGGTCTCCAGGACTATATCAAGGGTTTTGCACATGATAACGTCATGTCAGAGCACTTACAGGAAACCCTCTTTTTATATATTTTGACTCTGCCTCAAACCTCCTTAATGACAGAGTCAAGGGTGTGGCTGTAATGTCTGTTTTAGTTTCCTTGAACTCCTTGATTTGTTTCTAAGTCACTGTTGTAAATATCTTTATACCTGTATTGACGCCCCTTTCCTTTTACTTTCTTATTCTTATCTTCTCTGTTAGCTTTCTTTTTCCCTTCTCTTCTTTTCTTTGTAATCTCATTTATCTCTTAAAATGGTCCTTAAGAAACTTAAAATTGTGGCATTATGTATCTCTCTCTCTTGCTCTAAATAAAGGTCAGAAACAAATCTGGATTTTAGTCGTGTAGGAACTTGCCGTAGGGGAATGACACTGGTTGTGAGATGCGGTGTTCTGTGTATATGCTCTTGCTGTCTTTTCATCTGGAAGGGTGTGGACCAGTGAGCACTGCTGTCATGTGCTTGTTCCCTGTGCTTCTGAGTTTTCTAAGATACCAGGCTCTTGAGGTGCACATTCAGCGCGAGCATGTTGAACCTCGTAGATAGCCAGCTTCTGTACTTAAATGACAAGACCCAGAGCTTACAGTGTGGTTCTCTACACTTGGCATGTGTTGAGAAAGCACTGTACTTTTGTTTTAGTACATAGTATACTTTACATTACTGCCCGTTTAAACATTCCATGTCAAAAACTGTCTTATTTGATTTCTTCATTTCTGTTTGTCCAACAGTAGGCCTCTAATGGCTGTGAATTTATTGGATAAATGGGTTGTTCCATCTTTTTATTGGGAAGATCAATTTGAAAGATGATGTGAGTGTGCGAACATGCACTTATGCACACATGGGTGGGTCGGTCCTGTCATCTTCTGAACCTGAAACTCTCCTGTCTGTGCCTCCCACAGCACTGACTGGAGTTACGGGCCCATGGACTCACACCAGCTTTTTATGTGGGTCTCGGGGATTCAAACTCAGGTCCTTGTGCTTGTGCAACAAGCAGTCTTACTTAACTGAGCCATTTTCCTAGCCCTTCAGCTATTACTTTTAAAGTTTTATTTCTAGAGTAAGCTTTTAGAATTATTTAAAAGAAACTAACATCTAAGAGCTTTTATTGTTTAAATAAGGTTAGTGCATGTATGTTGTTATCTTTAGTGGTGGTTTTTAAGTGCTGGGGATTGGATATGGGGCAGTGTACATGTAAGCCTGTGCTCTTACCCTCTTTTTCCTTGTATTGTGAGGCAGGGGCTCATTAACTAAGTAAACCATATATCCTTGAACTTGTAACCCTTCTATTCATCCTGTCGTGTTGCTGGGATTTTTAGAACAGACTTCTAGCTCAGCTTTTTTTCCCTTTTTGGATTGTAGGATTTTGGAGAGTCAAAAATTACACTATTAAAGACTTTTGATCCATGTGATACTGCATTTTTTTGGATATTGCATTTCTTGAACTGTAAATGCCTTACAGCTTTATAATCATTGTTCCTTCCTTTTTTTTTTTCATAAAAATGGCTATATGAATTATTACTCCCAAATTTCTGAGAACATTTTCAATGATTTGGTTATTCTTTTAAGCAGTTTTTAATGTGTGCTGTTATTGGGAAGAGAAGTTGAGTAGCATGACTTTTGCTTTTGAGGACATCAGATTAAAAGAAATTGGGGTATCTCTATACTAAATAGAAGAGCAAAACATTGTACTCTATGCTTCCTTAACATGGACAGTGAAATGCAGAGGCTTGATCGGATTCAGCTGCAGATGTTTTGCTTCTTTTGGAAAGACGTGATCATTCTTCTTATGATCTTAACAGTCATTCCTCATCCTTGTTTAGTTCCATTATATTCACCAGGAGTCACATATTGGTGGTATTTAATTCTCATTCCTTATCCTTTTAATCCATTTAGTAGATGAAAGTAAGTGTGTGTGTGTGTGTGTGTGTGTGTGTGTGTCTGTGTAGGCCAGAGATTGTCATCTGGTGTCTTTCTTAATTGTTCTCTATTTTTTGAGTGTCTCTCACTGAAGCTGGGTCTCAGGATTTGGCTAGAATGGATGGCTAGCAAGCCCTGCCTAGGCAAGCTGTGCCTGCCTTCCTAGTGCTGGCATTACAGGTGCATGTTACAGTTTCTGGTTTTAGTTCAAAGAGGGTTGTAGTTCAAAGAAGATACTGGGGCTTAAACTTTTATTCCTGTGTTTACATAGAAAGCACTGTCCTAATTAGCTTTCTCTCCAGCTCTGGAATATTTTTTCTTTTTTTTAAGCCAAGGTTTCTCTCCCTGTGTTGCTCAGGTTGATCTCCACTTTAAGATCCAACCTCAGCATAGGATTACAGATGCAAACATATAGCTTTTAATTTGCGTGCTGGCGATCTGAACCCAACTCCTTGCTTGTGTGACTGAACCATCTTCCCAGAATATGGTGCAATACTTTCAATGAGGCAGTTTTCATCAATTAGAGGAGATTTTTACTGTCTTTCGAATATTTGAGGATTCTATAGTTGCAAATTTTTTTGATGGCTAACCTTTATTTGTGACCTGAAAATGAACGCTCCTGCTGCTATTTCAGTGAGTCACAAGCAGACTCATACAGAAGGTAGGAAAAACTTTGATCTAGTCAGTGTGTGTGCCAAGCTGAGGTTAAATAAGGCTACTCAGTCTCCTGGTTTTGCTTTTCATAATGAGTCCTTTCCTTTCCCTTTTCCTTTCGTGATTTTGTTTAAAATGACCCCAGACCTACTGCTGAAGAGCTGAATAGTATTCCCAAGCAAAAGAAAACTGGTGTGTTGTGGGGAGGATAAGTACTTAGTTCAGGTGCGGGTATAGATATAATGTTGTAAAGTGTTTCAAAACAGAAATATACATGAAATAAGTTTGTATATTGATTTGATTGGTTTATTGAACTTGTGTGACTTAAGAAAGAGTCTGAACAAAACCCTAAATGCATTTTTCCTAGGAATAGTGGTCCAGTGTTTGATTATTTTGTATTTGCATTGACCTGATAAACATAATTATTGTGAATCAGATGTTTTTGACTTTGCTGATGAACAGGAGAAAATAATTTTCAATGAATATAAAAGGCATGTTTGAAAAGTTGTAGGTCATGGAAGAACAGATAATATTCACACCAATCCTTCTGCTTGACTCCCCTATATCTACCTCCTTGGTCCCTTCCAATTTCATGTCCTCTTTCTTTTTAAATAACTCACCAAGTCTAATTTGTGCTGCTCATATACTCCTGGCTGTAGGGCCAGCTACTGGAGTGTGGCCCACCTACCAGGCCCACACCTTTAAAGAAAACTGACTCTCCCTCCCCTAGCAGTAATAAGTAGGCAGCAACTCTTTGGTTAGAAGTGGAGGCTGTGAGACTCCTCCTCCCTCTATGTTATGTTGGCTGGCTTGATCTTGCAGTCTTATTCAGGCCAACACAGCTGCCTTGAGTTCCCAGAGCAGTGGTCTTTGTCATGTTTCAAAGGCAATTTCATGCTTACACTCCTCACCTCTGGTTCTTACACTCTTTCTTCAGCCTTTGGGGCATGAGCAGGAGCGTGATATTCCTCTCCTGTTTGTGGCTGAGTGCTCTACTGACACAGTCTCTACTCTGATTGGTTGGGAGCTTTGTGCTTACCACTGTCTACTGCACAGATGAACTTCCCTGATGAGGTTTGAGGGCTGCAGAGAGACGAATTCAGGGCACAGTTCGATACTGTGTCTGTTTAGCAGAATAACAGTAATAAATTCATCATGGGGCTTGTGAGCTCTGCAGCTGCAGATTCATAGCCGTTTATGGTACCAGGTATGAGTTTTCTCTTCTGGAGGAGACCTTAAAACCAAGTAGAAAGCAGCAGGTTACCCTTATTGTCCCTGCTGTGTACTTCTGAATGTATCTTGCCAGACCAGTTGTTACTGTAATTCAGAGGGTTCTGTAGTAGGGGAGGTTTGTTGGAGTGTTGATCAAGTCAATTCTGGGACTAGAGAAGTAGTTGATGAAGTGATCAAATACTCCTGTTTCATTTCCACACTAATCAACCAGTGGTTCTGATGGCTTCTAGCTCACCATCTTACCTGGAAAGACAATTCTTAAATGGTCAGAATATGAGTTTGACCTGCAGTTCTCCATATATAATATAGTAAATGCTTAAGGGACAGAGTATTTTACAGTTCTCCTAACTGTTGAACTGGGCGGGCCTCAGGAAAGACGTATGAGTGCTCACATGTGAGGGGCCGGAGACATGGATCTCTCCCCCCACATACCCTTTTTATTTATACAACTGAAAATCTCATTAAACATGATATTTTGGCTGGGCATAGTGGCTCATACCTTTCATCCAGCACTTGGGAGGCAGAGACTAATGGGCCTCTGTGAGTTTGAGGCCAACCTGATCTATACAAGTAACTTACAGGGTAGCTGGGGCTATGTAGATGACTTGTCTCAAAACAAAACAAACAATGACAACAAAGAACAATGCGATTTTTTCTTATTACATATGTGCACTCCATTTTCTTTTCTATTAGTGTCATCTTAAATAACTGCGATTTAAGATCCATTAAATTAGTTTCGTGAGTGACTAGTGGATTCCACCTAATCCACAGTTGAGAGAATATAAAAACTAGTTAGTAATCTCTTTTTTCTTTTAGATTTCTCTTCCTTTTTTTTTCTGTCCTTTTTTCTTTTCCTTCTTTTAGGTGGTCAGTTTCAAAGGCTAGACAGTTCTAGATCTTCATAGGAATGTATAGGGACATCATTGAAATCAAGTTTCAGAAATGCTAAGTAATTTTAGATGATAGATTCTAAGTCATTTGAGACTTTTTTTGTAGTATGTAATTAAAGAAATTGATTTCCATATTTTGACATTACAGCTAATGATTTCACTTTAAAAATAAGTGTTTATTCCTTTCTTAGACAACTGCAGTTGGAGTAATGCCAGACACCAATAACTGGGACACCGGCTGCTAATATCAGGTGATGTAGTGGCTGACCGTCTCATCGCAAATATCTCCACTCATTTCAATTTCAGAGACGCTTGAAGATACATATTCTAATACAGTTTTTTGATTGAGACTGAGTAAAGTGTTTAATACCCCAAATGAACTGTTTTGTAATAAGTACATAGTTTTAATTTTCTACTTTTGAGAATTTTATACATGAATATTTTACATAATTTTCACTCTTTCCTCCCCCTCCAACTCCTCCAGTGTCCCCTTTACACCTTTCAACTTCGAGATCTCTTGATTATTTTTATATTCATATGCATAAATACACATACATACAACCTGGTGAGTCTATTTAGTATTGCTTATATAAATACGTATATTTTTATTTCATGTAACAAACCTGTGGGAAAATAACACTGTCAGAAATAAGTTTTGAATATGAAATTTGATATTAACTTTGTTGCAATTTTTTATTTGTAAATTATGTTTATTAGAGATGCATTGAATAAATCTTTTTCTTTTTTTACTACAGCAATATTTTGATAGTATAATATTTTAAAATTATTTTAAAAATCTAGAACTTCTCATTGGTGTCTGTTTGGCCTATGAGGCAGAACATACGTACACAGATTTATTTTCAGACTGTTTTTCTGTTTATCTAGGTTGTATGTAAGGTCTTAAATGATTGAACCATGCAGATTAGTCTGATTTTCCGTTTTGAAGATTTATTAGTGCTTGTCAAATACAGTCAGATACAGTCCTCTTATGTCTGCTTACAGCCAGGTAATGCTAATGTTCTCCAAATTGAGAAGCTCTTTTTTAGTGACTATCACTATATCAAAGTTGAAGCGGTTCATAGAAATAAGACGATTTTCATATTTGCTCCTTCTTTAAGATAACTTAAAAGCATCCTTTTGACCAGTTCCCTGTCTTTTAACATATATTTTGTTACCATTTATATACACTCACATAGCTAATTATGCTTACTAATTTTAGTTAGTAGAAGGATTAAGATTTCAGTTAAAGGGGACACATTTGTTAAAAAAAATTACAGTAACCTCGGGCATTATAAATACTTTGTGTTGTGAAAAATTGTGAACAGGGTGTTTCTGGAGCACAGCTCAGTAGCTATGCTACCTAATCTGTAGGATCTACTGGTTAGTCATGTTTTCTTTTTTTAAATATGTTTTCTGATTTTTTTAAAAATTTATTAGATTTTTAAAAAATACCATTCCAAGTTCCCACTCCCTCCTCTTGTCCCATTCCCTCCACACATCCTCCCACCCCACCTCCATGTAATCCTCAGAGAGGGTAAGGCACATTGCCTTGTGGAAGGTCCTAGGCCCTCCCTACTTTGTATTTTTTGCGTTGACTGTTTCTTTGAACACATTCATAGTTTCACTTTTGATTGCATCTGGAAGTATAATGAGAACTACAGCATTGCAGCACTACAGTACTACAACACTACAGCACTACAACACAACAACACGACAACAGTACAACAGTACAGCACTACAACACGACAACAGCATACAACAGTACAGCACTACAACACGACAACAGCATACAACAGTACAGTACTATAGCATTACAACACCACAGCACTACAACAGTACAGTACTACAGCACTACAACACCACAGCACTACAACAGCATACAACACTCAGTATAGTACTACAGCACTACAGCAGAACAGTATTATATCCCTACAGTTCTATAGTACTACAGCACTGTAACAGCGCTACAGTAGCACTACAGCACTACAGTACTCCAGCAGTACAGGAGCAGTACTACACTGCAGTTCTTTCTTTAGCTGTTTTTTAAAAGCAACTGGTATTTAATTGGACACAGTGAATCATATCTAGTCACAAAAGTGCCTTCTGTGTGACTACTAGAAAATGCAGAAATAAACTTGCTGTGTGTGGGCGCTAAACTGAACAGTATGTAATATTCCTTCCTCATTTTCTTACCTAAATAGTTTTTAGGCCTTTTAAAGTATGTCTATTGAAACTGTTCTAGATACTTAAAAAACATAGTTGGACTTTCAGCTGCTGGTATTATTTAGTATTTAGAAGAGATTGTGTCTGAAATTTATATATCTATTTTTCAAGTGTTAGGGTTGGGGCTCAGGACCTTTGCGTGTGGAAAGCAAGTACTTTAAAAGAGCTGCACCCCCAGCCCTGTTTCTAAGAAGGTGTTTAACAACAGTTTAGGGAGAAAATGAAAGTAACCTTTTTAGTTGTTCTTTACATTTTAAAGATTGTATCATCATTTGAAAACTATGGATTCTTTCGTCAGAAAGATGGTGAGGGATTGTGGATTTCAGAGTAAGAAGTCCTCTCCCCTCACTACTGTTAAATTTTGTGTTATTTTTCCAGTATCTGCTGAGGAGAAAAAAAAAGTTTATTGACCAGAATTGTTAACAAAAAGCTTCATTTATCAATGAATAATATGTATAACTGTCCTAGCTCCAAGCATGGTATTAAATTTGGGGGATCATAAAGTTACATATAAGAAACTGTATCGTCAAATACTAATACTGCTTGATGGGTGCTGTCATAGAGAAAGTTCTACCACTATTTGGTTCTGTCCTGAAATTTGGCAATCCTCCTTAGTCTTTTAGGTGCTAAGATTACAAGCATGTGCCACCATGCCTGGTTCTCCTGGAGATTTTGTGTATGTATGATGCTTCTTTGTGTGTGGCCATGGTGCCTGTGTGGAAGTCAGCGGTTCACCTTTGCCATTTGCCTTTGCCATTCTACCTCGTTCAAGATGGGTCTCTTTACCTTGGCATAACCAGGCTGGTTAACCCTTCTCCCCGTAAGTGCCTGTGCTGGGTTTTACATTGGTTCTGGGGAATCCAAACTCAGGTCCTAAAGCTGGTGGAACACGTGCTTCTTCTATACCCGAAAGTCTTAGTTTTAAACTATTTTAATTTCTTAAAAATAGTTTTAAAAATAAGAATTCTGCATTACAAGTTTATGAATTGTTCCGGGAATGTTCTGAAGTGAGTGAGGTAACACAGGAGATGTGTTAGTTTCTTAGTGGTCATTGTTGTCAAACTTTGACTTGCCCTCCCTACCTGTCATGAATGATTGATTTCCTAGTCAGTTTCCATGACTTTGTTTTTATCTATTCAGAAAATTCAGTTTTGGGAGTGGACTCATTTCCAGCATTAAAAAACCTGTTCATTTTTTAATGGCTTCATTTAGAGCTAATTTACTGCTTCTTGCTTCTCTCCTGACTTCCCAGTTTCAGGTGTGGGCCTATTTTCTGGGCCCCTCTATAGGGAAGGAATTTAGGGCTGTTTCTTGGTCTTACTGTCCTCCATCCTGTTGCTGAATTCCCTCTGCTAGGGTTCATAAGGGATGGAAGGCTATGAAAGGGAGAGAGTAAAAGCTCTTTAATTTAATGATACTCTGTTACTTTCTATTTCTATTGTGGAACAGTTTGTGTTCTTGGAAGATTTCCTATGCACCTCTTGCACAGACAGAACAGTCTACAAGTATTTCTATACACAATTATGCATACACAGGCTTTACCAAAAAGAAGCACATTAAGTAACTGAGAGGAAGGGAAGGGCAAATAGGTTGAGGAGTGAGAAATGTATAAATATCTATGGAACATTTTTACTTCATTTGTGGATTATTTGGTTTCTTATATGTAGAATATGGTTTTGGATAGCTCACTGTTTAAACATAAATGAAAAGCTATATATCAAAAATACATAAATTTTCTAAAAGAAAATAACTTTCTTCTAAATGGAAAAAAAGCAGAGAAGGAATTTTGTTTTAAAAATTTCAAAAGTTAATAGTTAACAGCTAATTAACTATTTAAAAGAGCTACATTTTAAGGTAAATTTTATGTAAATTTATGTAGTAAGGGGGATATTATAATATAATTTGAGATATTTTGCTAAATTTTTGATTTGTGAATGGGCACTGTTTTTTTTTTTTTAATATATTTAGTAAGTATACAATATTCTGTCTGTGTGTATGCCTGAAGGCCAGAAGAGGGCACCAGAACTGATTACAGATGGTTGTGAGCCACCATGTGGTTGCTGGGAATTGAACTCAGGACCTTTGGAAGAGCAGGCAATGCTCTTAACCGCTGAGCCATCTCTCCAGCCCTGGGCATTGTTTTTTAGTATTTATTTTAACTTATATATATTTGTGTGCACACTTATGTGGAGGTCAGAAGGCAGTTTATGGGGGTTGGAGCACTATACTGTTACCCTCTGATCCATTCAGTCAGCCCAACTATTATTTTAAAAGCCACATTTTGAGGCACAATGTACATGTAACACCATGCAGAGGTTTCAAATGTAGTTTTATGCATTCACAAGTATATATAGCTGCCTATACTCTTAATGAAGGTACAGGATATATGCTTCCACAAGGAAGTTCCTCCATGCTATTTTCTAGTGAACTATCCTTCACCTGGTAAACCTTGGCTTTGATTTCTAGTCCTGTAGCTTAATTCTGCTGGTTCTAGTATTTCTGTGACTTTAACTCATTGTGTCTGATGTCTTTCAACCTACTCATGATTCAAATGGTATTCTGTTATATGAATATGCCAATTTGCTTATTTTTTGTTGAGAATACTTTAATTTTATTCAGTTTTGGCTATTATAAATGAAGTTACAATAAAAAATTGGTGATAGATCTTTCTGAATACATTTTTTATTGATAGGTTATAGGATAAATAAACGTTTTCCTTTATAAGAAACTGTCAAACTTGGTTCCTTGTCATACCGTATTGTGCTTGTACAGAAATTAAGGACAGACATGCTTGTTCTTAATTTCTGCTAGCATTGCTACTGGTAATCTTGTAAAGTTTTCCATACTTATGAGTATGACATGATACTTTTATGCTTTTAATTTGTATTTCTATGGTGAATATGATAATCAAGACTTCATATATTTATTGGCTATTTGCTAACATTCCTTGTGGAAAATATATTTATTTTTTGCATAAGAATAGTTTATTATTTAATTGTAGTGTATTAATGCATATTCATAAATATATGAACTAATTTTCCATAATTTTTGTTTTTTCTCTCCAGCTCTATTAACTTTTTATTTTATTTTTCCTTTATATATCACAAGCTTACAAAGTTATTTTCCTTTATGGTTCTCATTTTTTTGTGTTTAGAGGTATGATTCATTACATACTATTCTTTCATGGTTTGAATCAAGGTTCTTCCCCCCCACACACACACAGATGTATAGTTGTTGTGACCCATGTCATTTTTGAATCGACTTAATGTCTTAATGGAAAATCAGCTGGGCATCTGTGTGGCCCTGTTTTGGACTCTGCTCTTTCACTTACCTATTCTGTAGTAGCTCCACATTGTCTTGATTACTGTAGCTCTCTAGTAAGCCTTGGCATTAGGTGCTGTATATTTAATTTTGTTTTTGTGGTTTGAGATTATTCTAGATTCTGCATTTTTACAATAACTTTAGGCGCAGTCTTATGTTAGAAAACAGACTCACCAGTTTTTTGGGATTGTGTTGATTTTATAGATATTTTTAAAAGCTACATTTTGAGGTGTTCTGTTCTTCCTTATTTTATTATGGAGCCCAGTAAGGGCATTTCAGACATGTATCACCACAGCCTAGCTTGACACTGTTATTGCAAGGCGTGGAAGCCTGCTTGGATTGCTTGGACGAAAGTAGATGTTCATCTAATGTAGCTGCCGGACTAACTGTAGAGTTCACATGTATTTGCTAGCTAAATTTTTAAAGGAAGTATGTGATTGCTCTTTTAAAAGTCTCCAGCACCTTTTAATGCTTTAGTGGTTTCATCTGTATATTGGAAAACTCAGTGCAGGTAGCTAGGCATGGTGGTATATGTAATGCTAGAACTTGGTTGGGAGTCTGAGTCAGGAAAATTGCAAGTCTGAAACCAGCCTGTGATACATAGTAAAACCCCTGTCTCTAAAGGAAACTTTTATATGCCTATCTTCTCCAACATCTCTTAGCCTTGTGAAATTATTTTTTTTAAAGCCTTAGTTTGAATGTTACATAAAAATTATTTTTCTTGAGAGATCCAAAGACCGTGTTTTTGTACTATCAGTTTTGTGACTCTTTCCTATATATATATATAAAGGATAATAAATATTTGAGTAAATGAGAATATACTTTTAAAATGAAAACATACTTTTGAAAAGTAAAAATTAAGTATACAAGAGTGAAGAAAATAATTAAGATTTAAAATTTTTAAAATGTGTGTGTTGTTTTTGTGCTTTTAAATAGAATAGCTATATTAATTTCTCAGACTTTGAGTACCTGTTTTTCTTATTACAGTAACTTTTAAATGGGAATGTCTGGTCTAATCAGTGGATGCTGTTTTATGAAACACTCAGTACCTTTTCTTCTTTGTTGTTTTAAAACAACCAGATCCCTGATTTTTAAGTTTTGTGTTTGTTGGGGATAGGGAGATGCTCAAGTGGAAAAGTAGCTCTTGCACAAGTGTGGGGTCCTCTAAGAAGCCAGGTATGACGTGTGCCTCCATAACCCTATCACTGGAAAGGGGGAAAGGGACATGGGCAGGGGGACCCTTGGAGCTTGTTGTCCTGTCAGCCTGGCTAGTCCATGCGCACTAAGTATATGTGTGTGTGTGTGTGTGTGTGTGTGTGTGAGAGTGTGTGTGAGAGAGAGAGAGAGAGAGAGAGAGAGAGAGAGAGAGAGAGGGGTAATTAAGATAGACACCTGTGGTGACTTAAATGCGAATGGCTCCCATAGGCACAATTGTTTGAACACTTGGTCCCCAGTTAGTGGTTTGTTTGGGGAGGTTACAAAATTCTTTGGTGGTCTAGCCTTGCTGGAGGGAGTGTGTCACTGGGGGCACGCTTACAGAGTTTTTAGTCTTACCTTGATTATAATTTGTTTTCTCTGCTTGCTACTGCAGTTGAGATATATAATCTCTCAATCTCTGGCTTGGGCCGCCTGCTGCCTTGCATTCCTTATCTCTGTGGCCAAAATAAACTCTTCTATAAGCTGATTTTGATTATGATGTTTTATCATAGCAACAAAAACTAATAAAATATCTGATTTCTACCTCTGGCCTCCATACATACTTGCATATATGCGTGTGCCCATATGTTCATGATCATTTAAACATTTACACACATATATTTTATCACATGTACACTCAGATTCACAATTTTTAAAAAAAAGTTAAATTTGTTTTTTGTGACATGTTGTATTAAAGTATAGGTAAAAATTAATGGTTCATTTAAGAGTCTACTGTGCTTTGATTTCTGGGGCCTCAACAGGTAACCTAAGCTTTTATTGTTCACTTTCCTAAATATATATGTCATCTTTGTTGACAGTTTTCTCCTTTTAATGTCACAGCTCTCTATCAAACCAGCTTCGATCCCTGAGAAGATAATTTTGAAGACATACTTTGCTGAGAAGACAGCTGCGAACAGTTGTCCGAATGGGATGAACACGCCTCAGCTGAC